AGTGTGAGGGTGTGCCGAAATGGGTGCGGCGCCGCCATGCGAACGCAGCCACTGGGGCCCGTTCGGTGGAGCCCTATGGGGCCCACGACGTGTGAGGGGTGCGCCGACATCGGGTGTCGGTGACGAGGAGGGTGCAGCGGGAGGAAGGAAGAAGGAAGGAGGAGTGGAACGCGGGGCGCTGTCTCTTGTCTCTTCAAAACAGGACCCAACACCAACAGGATGGTGGGGAAAAAACGTAGGAAGTAACCGTATCGTTTGTGTAGTCGTCGTAGGTTTAATCGTTGTCGTAGTTGTAGTCGTCACTACCCTGTTCCTCCCCTCTTCCTTCCTTCCGTCTCCTCCTCCTCCTCCCTCCTCCTTCCCCCTATCCGCCTAGTAGTAGTAGTAGTAGTAGTAGTAGTAGTAGTAGTAGTAGTAGTAGTAGTAGTAGTAGTAGTAGTAGTAGTAGTAGTAGTAGTAGTAGTAGTAGTAGTAGTAGTAGTAGTAGTAGTAATAGTAGTAGTAGTAGTAGTAGTCGTAGGAGTAGTAGTAGTCGTCGTAGTAGTAGTAGTAGTCGTACTAGTAGTAGTAGTAGCAGTAGTACTAGTAGTCGTCGTCGTAGTAGTCGTCTTCGTCAATGGGTTTGACTGTTAGTTGTGCCAGTAATTGTAGTGGCTATGGTAATGCTAATGAAACTGGTAGGGACAATGCTCGGCGTGGTAGTAAGCACAAACGTAATAGTAACACGAATCGAAATCACAATAATAACCATAACAGTCAGCAGTAATTGTACGACGAGTCGTAATAATCGCATCGGAATCGCGGTGCGAACATTAATGATAATAGTAATCGTAATCGCATTGTAAAGCTTATGATCCTCGAACCGTGAACGGAAAAAACATGTTTGCCAAACAATACTCGGAGCATTAACAGAACAAATAGGATCAGCAGTAGGAGTAGCAATCGCAGTAGTAGCTGTAGTCGTGCGAATAATAATAATAGTAGTGGTAATAGTGATAGTAGCGGTGGTACAAATAAAAGCACTCGTACTACTGATCCTGACAGTAGGAGTAGTAGTAGTAGTAGTAGTAGTAGTAGCAGTAGCAGTAGTAGTAGTAGTAGTAGTAGTAGAAGTTGTAGTAGTCGTAGTAGTCGTAGAAGTAGCAGTAATAGCAGCGTCGAAATAAGATTAATACTAGAAATAATAGCCGTCGTCGTGAAAGTCGTGTTGCTAGCAATAATAGTAATACTAGTTCTTGTAGTAGTAGTAGTAGTAGTAGTAGTAGTAGAAGTAGAAATTGTAATGGTAGTAGTAGAAATAACAGTACAAGTAGTCGTAAGAGTAGTAGTAGTAGTAGTTGTTGAAGTAGCCGTAATAACAGGACCGGTGCCAGTACCAGTACCAGAAGCAGTACTCATAGGGGCAGTAATAGTAATGATAGTCGTGCTAGTAGTAGTAGTAGTAGCAGTAGAAGTAGTAGTAGCAGTAGTAGTAGTAGTAGTAGTCGCATTTCGACTAGTAATCGTAGTTGTATAAGTCGTAGTCGTAGTCGCAGTAGCACTAGTAGTCGTCGTCGTCGTCCTTGTCGTCGTCGCACTGTAGTAGTAGTAGTAGTGTTAGAAGTAGTAGTAGTAGTAGTATAGTAGTAGTAGTAGTAGTAGTAGTATTAGTATTTTGAGCACTGGTAGTAGTAGCAATAGTAGTAGTATTAGTATCGTAGTAGTAGTAGTAGTAGTAGTAGTAGTAGTAGTAGTAGTAGTAGTAGTAGTAGTAGTAGTAGTAGTAGTAGTAGTCGAGTAGTAGTAGTAGTAGTAGTAGTAGTAGTAGTAGTAGTAGTAGTAGTAGTAGTAGTAGTAGTAGTAGTGGTAGTAGTAGTAGTAGTAGTAGTAATGGCTGTAGTAGTAATAGTAGTAGTAGTAGTAGTAGTAGTAGAAGTAGTGGTAGTAGTTGTAGTAGTAGGAAAAGAAACAGTACTAGTACTGGTAGTAGTAGTAGTAGTAGTAGTAGTAGTAGTAGTAGTACTAGTAGTCGAACAGGTAGTAGTAGAAGTCGTAGTAGTAAGACATAGTAATCGAAGTCGTAGTCTTAGGAGTAGTAGTAGTAGTCGTCGTCGTAGTAGTAGTAGTAGTAGTAGTAGTAGTAGTAGTGGTAGTGGTAGTGGTGGCCGTAGTAGAAGTAGTCGAAGTAGTAATACGTGTAGTAGTAGTAGTTGAAGTAATAGTAGTAATCGTAGTCGTACTAGTTGTATCAAGGATAATATTTTTAATAGTAGTAGTGGTAGTTGTACGAGTAGTAGGAGTGGTAGTAGTAGTAGTGCTAGTAGTAGTCGTAGCCGTGGTAGTAGGAGTAATAAGAATATTAGTTGTAGTAGTAGTCGTAGTAGTATAGTAGTAGGAGTAGTAGGAGTAGTAGTAGTGCTAGTATTAGTGATAATCTCTAAAATGATGATTGATGATAATAATCGTAGTCGTAGTGGTCGCAGTCGTAGGTGTAGTAGTAGTAGTAATAGAAGTAGTAGTA